AGAATGCTATTTATTGCAATTTTCAGCAAACCAGTTCCTCGAAGAAGAAGATACTTTGTTCCTGGTATTCTTAATATCTTTCTGTCGCAAAAGCGAGGACAAGACATTTCTGTTGGACAGTTGGATTTATTTAGATCTGTCAAAAAAAGATGGTCAAACAGTCTTTTGTTATATATGAATACCTTTTATCGGGGGATAATAATTCAGATCACATTATTCTTTCATTTTACAGTTGAAATGGTAACCTGTTTCATAATACTTATCGTCGCTTTTGAAAGTTTCTTATTGCATCATGTGTTTTTTTGGAACAATTTTCAGGTTTTGGACTTCCCCTTCAAATTTAATCTTCAAAAATTTAAGCGCAATGCCAATCCTTATCGCTGCAGTTTTTACCGTTTTACTCTGGAACTAACTAGATGAAACCGCCATTTCTATTCAAAACACAGCATTCTTATATTTTATCAATATTAAAAAATAAGACATTTTAAACATTTAAATGCAAAGTCAATCCTCTTCATCAACCCTGTTCTTTTTTTCTTTTTTCTTTTTTTGTCCTTTCCTCAATTCTCCCCATTCTCAGTTTTCTCATTCCTTGCCTTCTGCGGACATTATCGTCATTCTTGGAGAGAAACGATTAAAAAACTATTTTTATTTTTCCCATATTTTCACCCTTTCAGTAACTCCCTTACGTCTTAGTGGCTTTATTGCCTTACGCGCAGTGAAATTATAAAAAATATTACAAAATTCTACATGACTTCTCAATCGATTCCTCATGATTAAAATGAAAAAACTTTTTATAAACCCTACAGTTTCTAACAATAAAAAGTGAAAATATATTTTACTGATATTGACGAAAGAAAAATATTTTTTTAAAAAAACAAAGTCAAAAAGTTTATCTTTTGCATAATCGAATCGTTTTATTTTTAGTAATTTTTTTAAATACTCTCGTCATTAAAATCAAATTCATGAAAGGAAAGATTTCAGAAATAAAATTTCAAAGTTTATAGCGATTCAATCAATTTTATTGACAATAACTGATTGACTTATCTCTGATTGACGTTTGACTGGACTAATCATCCGAACAGAAACAGATCGAGGTATTTTTTCCGAAGAAAAATCTTCCTTTTTTATTTTATTTTATTGTTTGGGCAAACCCCAAATAGAAATGGAGGCCAATTTAGAATATCAGAAAAACGAAATCAAAATACTTTGTTCAATACTTATAAACAAAAAGAAAAATTTACAAAATAATATTCCATCTTTCAAAAAAATACGAAAAGTTCATCAAAAAAGCTAAAAATAAAATATAGAAATTAAATGTTATATTATATATATATATATATATATATATATATATATATATATATAACTTATTCTCCCGAAGAGAGATTTGCTTCTAATAGTTGTTGGCGCGGTGACAAATGTATCCATTGAATTCGTTCTGTTTGACTTAATTTTTCTTCTTTTTTTTTTTTTGTTTTTTTTTTTCATTTTTCTTATACACATTCAAACAAATATATTTAAATTTAGTCGCAAATATTGACGTGCAAGTATTAAGGTATTGTTTTGTGTAAGGAATGGTTACTTATTTGATTTTTTTAGAGTGATTTTTAATGAGATTATTAGACGTAATTACTTTGAACAGTTTGAATCTTTTTTCGTAGGGCGGGAAAGTGTTCGTCTGTTATTGAAAGAAAATAAATCATTAAAAAAAAAAGAAACAAACAAAAGCATTAATTATTCTGTTTCGTTTTCAATCAGGATGATGAATATTAATATAAAAAAAAATTAATCATTCTTAAAAGATGGTGTTTCGTTTTTGCTTTTATTTTTGTCATTCCTAAAATTCTACAAAGAAACATACAGCTTTTTTTAAAAATTTATCAGTTTACGTCAATTTTTTTTTCTTTCCTCAGCGGCATGTACATATTGAAAAAAAAAAAACATTTATCCATATATATATAATTATAAAAAAAAAAAAAGAACGTTATATAACATAACTATATGCAGTAATACATATTCATATAGATATATTACATTTTACACCAGGAGACGGGAATTCCAGATTTTCACTCATTTAAAAAAAAATATTTTAAGGAAAGCATCTCAAATGTCATTTTCAAATAAAAATTTGAACAATTAAAATGAATTTTTTTAAAAAGAATTTTTCCAACGTTTTTTCAATTTTTCAAGTTCATGGTCCTTTGAGTTTTTATGCTGTTCTTAAAATTCTTCTTACAGATTTCTTTTGCTTTTTTTATATATATATATATATATATATATATATATATATATATATATATATATATATTATAATGCAAGTGTTGTTTTATATAATTATTCAATTTATTCATTTATAGTACTTGTTTTCTCACTCGACAAAATAGCCGCCCCTGTTTTTTCTGAAATCAAGTCTGTTACATATTTTATCTTTATTTACACAAATAAAATTTCATTTTATTTTCCTTCCTTTGTTTCTTCCTTGTTATTTTATTATATA